TCGAAGAGAAATTTGAGGCCTCTTTTAGTTTAGAGTTCTGCACAAACAAAAACTCCTACTATTACATAGTAGTGAGACCTCAGAAGCCTCAGTCTCGTCCATCTTCCAGCAATATTAAGGGTTGAAAGCGACACACCCCCCTCCTTTCTTTTTTTTTTTTAATTGTCATTTGAGGAATAATCTATTTTCTTGTCCTCAGTCCTATCCCACTTGCCTTGGCTTCCAGCTTCCCGTGCAGGTGGAAAGTCCATCTCCTCCAGTCTTCTCAGAGAAGTTCAAAGTTCTCACCTGAGCTCACAGACAGCCAGAGCCATCCTTCCTTCCTTCATAGGTGGGTTAATCTGGACAAACACTTCTGGAAAGTTCTGGTAAAGTCTTTCCCCAGAAATCCAGACTGCCAGGTGGGGAACCACCTTGTTAGGACCTTCTGGATTACAAGTCTTTTTTGGGACTTCACCTTGAGCAAGGTATTCACTGGTATTCATTTTGTAGCTACAAGTACTGACATCCACACAATAAGTAAATGCTGTTTATACAGCTATGAACAAACCTTCCCAGAGGGGTCCTGATTTTTTTTCTTAATGTTTTTGTTTGGGTTTGGGTTTTTTTGGGTTTTTTTGTTTTTTTTTTAATTCATCCACCCCTTATTTACCTTTCCTAAAAGAACAAAAGCAAAGGTAAGGAAAAAACCCATGCTTCTGCAAGCCTCATTTGAAGTTTGATTTTAGAGCAATAATTCCTGTTTCAGATATGTAATTTAGGACAATCTTTGGCTATTACAAAGAGAAAATACATTCTTTTATCTTTGTATTTACTGTTTGTTTAAGATTAGGCTTTTTCAGCCTTTGATCTGTAACAAAAATAAGGGCTACCCAGTGGGAGCATTTCTTATTGTTACTCTGAAAAGACTTTTGATTGATTCATCCTTCTTCTGACTCATGTTATTAACACAATAGGAGCTGGGTTTGAAAAACAGAAAAAGCAATCATTTTGTTTAAGAGATACACTTTATCTTTCTGCAAAATACTTAATCCATTTTACTACTCTGTTCAACAAAATAAACTTAAAAAAATCTTAAAACTTTTTTGCAAAGGCAGTAGATAATTAGCAAAGATCTACTGATACTGGTTTTGCTCTCAGCATATGAAAGTAAATTGTAATCTCTTGGCTGGATAGTGCAGTTCAAGACTATCCATAAATATCAAAGAAATTATAGTCTGAGCTGACCTAAGTCGTTTTCCCATGTTTTATTTTACAATTAAGAAAGAGATAAAAAATGTAGACTGAAGGTTTTCTTTGGAGAAGATAATTACTGAAAACTAGCCTAAGACTGAGATTCATCTGCCCTTATTAATACCTGGACAACTATTTCCATTGAGCAGGTAAAATAATATTTAAAATAAAATAAAATAATTTAACAGATTTCAAAAGGCCATTTTATCTTGTATTGTAGAAACTGTTTATGGTGTTGTTCTACAGTTCAGAACAGGCAATTTCATTCTCCAGACCCAAATAGTTCAGGGTATTTGTCCATGTTTTTAGCTCCATCTTCAAGGTAATCAGATATAAAAGGAAGTCAAGATTTAAATACTCAAAACAGAGACATGATTTTCTCAAATTCTGAGTGTTAGGGCAGACAAAAGAAAAAAAAAAAGATCAACGAAACATATTCATGTTCCATTACCATTATCAGTAAGAACAGGAAGTACAGAACTCTCCAGATCTCACTGTTACCAAGCCATAAAAGCAGAGACCAACATTCTCTGGCTTGCAGACAGGGGTATAAACTAGTCCAGGGGCAAACAAATGTCCAGTGCCCAAGTAAAACTGTCTCAAACTTTCTCCTGCCTCTTCCTTATACTTTCAAAACTTTCTTGGAAGCTCATGGAGGCCCCACGAACATACAGACTGACACACTCTTTCCCAAGAGCTGATATTATGATGGGTGCAGTACATGAATCTTAAATTCATCCACCTACCAAAATTTTCCTGATGGTCAGAATGAAAAGTACCTCTGCAGAACACAAATCAGCCTGTCCTTGTGTATTCTCTGTGGTTTGAGAAGGACTGCAACTCTCTGTTTTCCAGTACTGCTCCCTTTTTTTCTTACTGCCACATTCTACCTATCTAGAAGGTGAGGCAGGAAAGGTAACCTAAAATCATATTTAAAATCAACAAATAAGAGGTGACTCTAAGGAAGAAACCACATATTATAAAAGTAATGTTGAACGGCATGGTGAAAACATACATTTTTTATTTTATATCATAAAAACTAGGACAACTCTTAGTCAAGTAGAAGAAACATTTTTTGGTGTTTTAAAAGAATTTATCTGACTAACAGTGGAAACTCCCCAAGTTAATGTACACCCTACTGCTCTTCCTCTCTTAAATGCTGGATAATCCTGAACCACTTCCTGATACCAGAAGCTGCTCAGGTTATTACTGTGAAATAACTAATGACTAGCTTAAAAATTATTCTGAACCATGCTCAGAACTTTTTTAAGAGATAGTAAAACCATGCAAGTAAAAACTACTTAAATTCTTGACAAGGCAGAATTCAAAGCAGAGGTGAGGACAGTTCATCTTCTGGCAAGCTCAGGTCTACATTTACTCTAGGACCTATTAGTTAATCTAGATTCTCCAATTACTTAAAGGTACTTCAACCTGAAATGGTGTAAAGGGTTCTAACATTTCCCATTCAGACTGTTACTTTCATTATTACAGTTGCTCTAATATATAACTCTTGTTTTGCTGTGTTTGCCCTATAGAAAGTGTTTACCATAAACTCCACAGAGGAAGTCTTTCCACAATACCTCCTTTTAAAATACTTTAGCTTTTAGTGTAATGGAAGTCTGACAAAACCAACTGGTTAAAAAAAAAAAAGACATTAAGGAATTCTCTGCTGTGCAAATTGCTGGCTATTGCTAATAAATAATAATGTCACAGATTTCCACCAAAGAACGAGCCATTTACACACGACTGGTCCTTTTGCAGAAGTCTGCAAACAGCAGATGAAACCATGTCTGGTTTTCTATTTGGATGCTGCTGTCCAAATACAGATTCCTGAACTGTTGTGTCAGGATTTCAGCCCATCAGGCCTCACAAGCACATAGACACACATCCTGCCTTGCAAACTCAATACTGGTGAGCTCAGAAGGAAGCCTCACTTAACCTTTATTGGTTCAGAATACCAAAATAAAAAAAAGAGAATGGGCAATAAGCATGCCACACTTGCCCCCATCCTCAAAAATAGCATCAGGTACCATTTTATCCACATATTAAAAAAAAATAAAAGAGAAAGACTCAGGTTTGTAATTCCTTTCCTCGTTTCAAGAAAACATAAAAAAAAGGGGAAAGTGTCACTTGGTGGCACTTTGCTTCATCTGATCTTCTAGCAAAACAAGGGTTTACATAACTTTCCAGCATGCACAAGTTCATTAAGGGTTGCCTGCATAGGATTTTCAAGTGCAGCCTTTAGTAGCAGGTTGGTTGTGCCTCAAGTGAATTTCTTTTCCACCCACCCCAGAAACTTCTTCTTATGCTATACTCTGAGGAATATTACTGCCTCCTAAACACAACCCAGCTACAACATCAATAGGATTTTTTAAACTCCAGTAGTATTTTATACTATCACAGTCAAGGAGCTAAAGACACTTTACAGGAACCCATTTGCCAAGTCACATGGGTCAGCCACGCAGAGGCTCATATGTCACAGAAAGGTTGAGTTACAGAGAAATAGAGAGAACCTTGGACAGAGAATTAAATGGAGACAACAGTTGGAGACTTCTGGAACAAGTATTACTCTGTGCTCTTCTGCTACACAGAAATAGAACGGGGAAGTAGAATTTCAGGATCATTCTGTTAGGAAAGAAGGGACACTTGTCCTGTAGATCATGACAACCTTTCAAGCCTGGGGCTCCACATACACAGATTTTTCCACAATACTCAGATTGCAAATATACATCACCCTTCACCATGTACTAATTTTCAAGAGGCTTGGTTACACTATAACTGGGTGGTGACACCGGGGTGTGACATTGGCTTGCTGCAGGCCCGGTCTCACGTGCATCGTTTATCAGAGTACACCATCGCTCCTGTCTCGTCAAGTGAGTTACACCATCGTTTGTTAAGCACGTACCAAGATAACCAATGTCACAACACACCGTGTTCTGGCAGTGAGGTTCTTAGAGAGCTTCCTACGGACACACGCCCTCAAGGAACAAAGACCTCCGGATGGTGAAGGCCCCAAATTAGCCCTTTAGGATACAGACCCTTCACAGGAGCCAACAGTGCGACCTGCAAAGGCTCACCCAGTGTTTTCCCACCACCAGCCAGGTCCAAGCAAGCACCTCCGAAGGCAGCACATGACAGCCATGAAGGCCGAGATCCAATTACACCCGCCAGCCCTGGGCCAGTTCCCCTGACACAGCCAAGTCCTTACACTCCACTACAGCCTCCCAAGACCCTCAGAAACCCAGGGGTGCCGCCCCACCCCGCCTCCAAGGAGTAACGGGGCTGAGCTCTGTGCCAGCACAAGGACACCGGTGCCTCCAGACCCCGGCGCGGGACACCGCGACCACCGTCCCTGAAGGGGCAGGAGCCCGGGCTGGATGCGCCTGCGGTGCCGCCTCTGCCCCACCGTGAGCCGAGCAAACCCTCCAGCAACACCGCCTCCCTCGCTAATCCCGCTCGCCGTCCCACGGCACGGAGCAGGAGCTGCGTTAACGGGAGCGCGGCCGCAGCGGCCGCGGGGTGCGCGGAGCCCCGGGACGGTCCCCGCCGCCCGCTCCGCCCGGCACCGCGGCGGGCGGGGAGGGCACCGCTCCGCCGTGCCCTGACCTTATCCCGACTTGGCAGGGGCCGCCCGGGCGCCGGAGCGCGGCGGGCAGAGCTGCCATCACACCGCCCGCCCGGCTCCGCGCAGGGGAGCAGCGGCAGCGCCGCAGGAGGAAGAGACGGAGGAGGAGAAGGAGGAGGGGGGCAGGCCCGCGCCCGCTCACCTGCAGGGGGAAGGTGGCCGCCTTGTTGCCCACGTAGCCGCGCACGACGTGGCTCTGGATGGAGAGCACCCGGCACTCGGGCTCCATGGCTGCGCCGCCCGCCCTCCCGCCCGCGCCGGGCCGAGCTGGCGGCGGCGGCGCCGGCAGCAGGAGCAGGAGCGGGGGGCGGAGCGCGGGCGGCGTGACGCGCTCGCCCTCCCTGCCCGCCTGTCACACACACACACGCGCTCCCCCCGCGGCAGGGAGGGAGGCAGGGAGGGAAGGGGCGGCGGCACCGCAGGCTCCCCCCGCGGTGGTCGCTGCCCGGCGCTGGGTGCGGGGCGGAGGGGGCGCCCGGTGCCCACCGCAGATCCGCCCCCCGCGCTCTCGCCGCGGGTCCCGCCGCCGCCTCCCCCGCGGCGTCACCGGTCACGCGCCCCAGCGGCCGCCCCGCCCGGCGGCGGCACCGGCGACACCGGGCACCGAGAGCGGACACGGCCCCGGGCAGCGCCCGGGCACGGCGGGGGCAGCGGGAATGGGTGGGCGCCTCGCCCCGGCGCCTGGGGAGTCACCGGGATGGGTCGGGTTGGAAAGGGACCACGGCGGGTCGTCTGTCCCAACCTCCCTGCTCGTGGAGGGCCATCCCAGAGCACGCGGCAGCGGGTTGTGTCCAGACGGTTCTGGAATGTCTCCAGTGAGGGAGACTCTACACCCTCTCTGGGCATTCTGTTCCACTGCACAGGGAAGAAGTTCTTCTTCGTGTTCAGGTGGAACTTCCTGGGCATCAGTTTCTGCCCATTGCCTCTTGTCCTATTGCTTGGAACAACCGAGCAGGGCCTGGTCTGTCCTCTGACACTCACCCTGTGGATATATGAAGTCCCCTCTCAGTCATCTCTTCTCCAGGCTAAACAGGCCCAGCTCCCTCAGCCTTTATTCATAAGAAAGATGCTCCAGTCCCCCAGTCATCCTCTTAGCCCTCCACTGGACCCTCTCCAGGAGCTCCATGTCTCTGTTGTCCTGAGGAGCCCAGAACTCCTGGGCTTTGGTAAATGAGCTTTTTCCACCTGGAAGGAGGTTGCAGTGAGGTAGGGGTCAGAGTCTTCTGCTCATGCCCACAGTGAGAGGACCAGAGGAAATGACCTTAAGCTGAGATAGTGGAGGTTCAGATTAGATAGAAAAAAAAATTTCACTGTCAGGGTGGTCAGACATTGGAATAGGCTGCCCAAGGAGGTGGTGGAGTCACCATTCATGGAGGTGTTTAAGCCCAAGCTGTGGGTGCCCTGACAGAGCACCACCCTCGCAGTCGAGTTCTGAAGTGAGTGCAATTGTGTGTTATTGACCCAAAAAAAAAAAAACCCTCGGAGGGCTGACAAAGAGTAAAAGAAGATGTATGTGTTGGCTGGCAAGTGCTACAATATATCAAGACTCTGCTGAGACAGGACTTGATGGTGTGTTTGGGAGTTTCATCTTTCTCTGGCCATTTGTCATTATTGACCGTCACAGATCACAATAAGAAATGACGCCTGATGCCTCTTGTTCTTCTTTGTGGATAGCTTTGAATCGACTCTTGAAATAGCGTGATTATTTCTCAGCAAGGTGAAAGAGTATTTTCCTCATCATAAGTAATCTGTTGGAAAATGAGGGAACATGCTGTCCTCTTTTCAGTCATCACTCCAGTTAAAAAACTTCGGGCTTATTCTAGTCTGGCCTAACTACTAACAGTTGCTTCACCACCTATAAATTTATGCATTTCTTGAATTGCAGAAATCAGTGCATCTCCATGGGGGCCCTATAAAAGGGCCAGAACAATGAGGAATCTGCATCATGTTATACTCCTGCTCCTCTAGCTTAGAGGGCAATTGTTGGAATACAGATCTTGTCCTTTTTTTCCCGTGTTTCCTCCCTTCCTCACTAATAGGGCTTCATGCTCCACTTTGACCTTGTAAGCCTATGACACACACACTGTCTTAGGTTCCTTTTGGGAATAACTCAAGATCCATCTTGTGGGTTCCACAGTGTTGTCAGGTGAGACTGGGTCTCAGTTAAGGAAGTTGTGTAGTGGCATTAATGGTTTGTCTCTGTAGTGCCTATACCAATTGTATTTTCCCCAGACTGCTTGTACACCTGAGCAAGGAAACTGCAGCATGGGTATCAATTACAGGATTGTTTAGGTTGGAAAAGACCTTTGAGGTCATTAAGTCTAACTTATTAAACCAGCACTGCAAAATCCACCACTAAACCATGTCCCTAAGTGCTACATCTACATGTCTTTTAAATACTTCCAGGAGTGGTGACTCCACCACTTCCCTGGGCAGCCTGTTCCAGTGCTTGACAACCCTTTTGGTGAAGAAATTTTTCCTGATATCCAATCTAAACCTCCCCTGGCACAACTTGAGGCCATTTCCTGTTATCCTATCCCTGTTCTCCTGGGATAAAGTTCTCTTGCTTGCTCCCACACCACATGCTGTTTCTCCAAGCAAGTGGAAAAATCCACTCTATGCAAGATTGCTGCTTTCTTCCTAATGTTCACAAAGGTCCAACAAAGGCAAGTACTCCTAGAAAACTTTATGCTTTTCCCAGAGGAACATCTGAAGCCTCCCTTTGTACTCTAAGCTGTAAAAATTGAAGTATTTTTAATGAATTGAGGAGTAGAACCTGCACACACAAAAGTAAGCAAGGGGGTGACTCAGCAGTATCAAGTGCCAATGTTTTTCCAACTATGAGGGAATCTGTACATCCATATACTAAAAAAGTTGCCACAAGCAAAGCAAAGGCTAGAAAACAATTTGCCTTCCCTTCCAGAAAGCAGCTCATCTGAAAGTGTGCACAGTTTCTGAGCAGTGTTTTTTTTTAAAGACTTTTCCCTATTTATTCTTTAAGAAATCAGGCCTCTTCCTCATAATAAAAGACTCTGTGTCCCAGGAAAAAGTGAAGCTTCGATTCCATAGTGATCATGCATCCTGCTATTCTATCATTCTCAAGAAAATAACTCCCAGGTATTCCTCCAAATCTGGGGATTACTAAGACTATTTGAGGAGCAAATAACCATTCAATGGGTGACAGAAAGCTTCACTGGGAAAAAAGAAAAAGGCAGAGCAGGTTAGATCAAGTGTAGGCAATAGAGAAACTGTTCTGGGCTTCCTATTACAGCTGCTGCAGCAGCACTGTGATGATACCTTTTGAGCTCCTGCCCTGTCAGTGGACTGTGCATGGAGTTTTATGGTGGTTTTTTTTAAGGTAACCTGACCACTCAAATCAGATCTCCTTGGTCAGAGCAGACTATTTGCTGGAAATGGTGAATTTTGAGTAGAAGATCATCATAATTTGATCGAGAGGATAGTTAAAAAGACCACAGTTTGTCAACAACTGTCAACGTTTCTTCCACAAATGTTCCCTGTTCCTCCTGTGCCCTCCTTCTGTAACTCGCTGAAATCCTGCTCACGTCTCCCCCACTGCTGTGCTCAGCCTGTCAGTAACCACAGAGCAAATCACCCCACGGCAGACCTGAGGCAATAATGCACGTGACAGGCATCCAGCCTGCAGTTCTGGGAGATACACATCTTCACCTGCCTTCTTTGCTTCTGGGCAGACAGGATAAACATCCTTATGGGCCATTTGTTGCACAGGCTGCTGCCTTCCTGTGTCTGTGTTGTTACCCTTTGGAATTCCAGCTCACCACGCATGAAGAAATTGTGAGATTATGGTGAATAACAAGCTTAACATGGATCAACAATGTCACGATATTGCAATAAAGGTAATCACCTTTTGGACTGCATAAACAACACTATAGTCTGTCAGACATATGAACTCGTCCTTGTAGCATACTGAGCACTGGTTGGGTCTCTGGTGAAGTACTGCCAAGTTTTTGGAATGACATTTCATTCAAAATGAAAAAATGGCACAATGGGAGAGGTCATAAGAAGGATCCAAGGCTCAGGACACACAACATAGGAGGAAATGTTTTCTTTATATTAATGAAAACTCAACTCTATTAGCAGCCTACAAATACATATAACACAGGGCTATGAGGGAGCAGAAGGGAATAAACCAATGTCCATGATGGAGGGCTTGCTGCCATTTTGCAAAGGATTATGAAATATGCAGGAGGAGATTGCTTGGGAAGATTGATGCGGTTTTATCTTCCGTTTGTTTGTTTTTTCATAGCAACTGGAAGAAATATTTTATAAATATTGATAGGTGTATTTAAATTTATCTTGGAATGGGGAACAGACTTGAACTACCAAGGTCTCCTGAAGCCCAGATTTTCTATTTCAGCACAATAGAAAAGATATGGAGCTGCCAAGAATATGACACACTGAGCTTGATAAAAGATGCACAGAGAGAAGGTCTTAAATCAGATTTTGTACGTTGCATATGGATTCTCTAAATCATTGCAGACATTGACAGAAAACAAAAGGTGACAGTTATGTAAAAGTAGTATCAATACCCTCTCCTCAAAAAGTCTTCAAGGCAGCAGAATCGGACCAGCACAGAGTAATAACTAGAATCATAGAATTGCTTAGGCTGGAAAAGACCTTCAAGATGGCTGAGCCCAGCTATTAACCCAGCACTGCCAAGTCCACCACTAAACCATGTCCCTAAGCACCACATCCCGTTTCTTAGATACCTCCAGGGATGGTGACAGCCACAAGCAGTCTGTTCCAGTGCTTGACAACCTTTTCAGTGAAGAAATTTCTCCTATATCCCATCTGAACCTCCCCTGTCACAAATTGAGGCTGTTTCCTCTTGTCCTGTTGCTTGTTACTTGGGAGAAGAGACTGACTCCCCACCTGGCCAAAATCTCCTTCCAGGTAGTTGCAGAGGTCAGTGAGGTCTCCCCTGAGGCTCTTTTTCTCCAGGCTAAACACCCCAGCTCCCTCAGCTGCTCCTCACCAGACTCTTGCTCCAGCCCCTTCCCCAGCACCACTGAAGAGTACACCTGTTCAAGCCATGACCAGCCAGTTTTTCCAGAAGAATTCTGTGGGAAGTGGTGTCAAAGCCTTTGCTAACATCTAGACAACATCCAATTGTGCATTCCTCAATCAGAAGACCATCTGTATTTTAAGATACTGATTTTTGCTTCAGTTCAGTGTTTGCTAAGACAGATTGTAAAGCACCAATTTATGATTGTGATAGTAACCATAAGCTGTTAGCAACATTTGATGTAGGAGGGGACCGTTGTCCTTGTTTTGTGCCAAATTTTCACTTGGCCTGTATTAAAATGATTAACTTTGTCAGGAATTGTCAAAATTACGGGATGATCAGAAGATCAAGTGGGCTATCTATTCACTTATACCTCTGACTCAAACCTGTTCTCTTTCACTTATTTGACAAATCTCCATATATTTTGAGCATTTTTACCTCCAAATATCAGGCCCAGTCTTGCAATCCTCATGTCCATTGTTGGAAGTGCTTCTGGGATGGCATCCACGGGGCTGGGTGTCAAGCTGAGAGACAGGCCAGTGATAACAAAATTCTGTTTAAAATGCCATATTGCTATCATGAGTTGCTGCAGCTGAACAGCACTGTATAGCATAGT